CACTGATATAAAGAAGTGAACAACTCGAACAAACACGCACTATACAAACCAATCTTCAAGGAACCAAATTCATCCAAATGCAACTCATCAACTCCATACCTTGATATGAGCATCATAGATGACTGGTGCAACAGTCATTCCAGACTCAGTGGTTATATCCAGACAGATATCCACGTTATTGTTCTGTCTCACGAACGTATCCATAAAGAAACTGTTCGCTTCGGGAACTCGTAAACATGCCAGCGCGGCTGCCTTTATGATGAACGCATTCAACGAGATCTTCTGCGGTTTCTCCTCACCCTTCGCCTTCTCCAACAACTTGTTCAGTTTGTCTCGTACCCTTAAATGGCATTAACACTATTCCATTCATCCACATATTCACTGTTCATTTGAGTCACAAAGGGAACGATATGAACGCAGTACGACCAACTTCATCACTTCATCCATGAAAATCAGTGAAGAAAGATAGTAATGTGGTACGGCGTGTTTGCTGTCCATCACCCTGGCCGCCAATGCAGCACGTTGTTGTGTCAATGGAATATCCACAAAACCACCCTCGGGCACCGGTTTCGACACCGGTCCGGCCATTCCAGCTGCCACACCAACACGTGCCGGAGCAGCTACACCGACCGGTGCTGCGAGCACATCTGCCGCCAAGATACGACCACCTGGACCAGTGCCTGCCACTGCCTTCAAATAATCGTCACTTACCACAACAACATTCTAGACAACTTCGAGGACAAGAATGCAATCAAGCTCCACTTTTGTGCTTTCATAGAATCGCACCGTGGGAAGGCGTCAATGCTATTATCGTAATAAACGATCGTTCGGAAAATTACGCAATTCTAAAAATTTTAATTTGAAACAATTTCATCAAACAATTTCTTTTGTTTCATCAAATTGTTCAAATATCAAACAATTTGTTGAAACAAAAGTTTTGAGATATTTCAATTTGCAGTGAATCAGTGATAACTACAGCATGATCACCAAGCTTTATTAAAGACTAACAGCAAGGTTAACGCCTTTCTCAGCAGCGAGTCGTTTGGCGTAAGGCGTTGCGTTCACTCGACCACCTGCAGGCGGAGCTACAACCGGTGGGACGGCGGCCATCGGAGGCGCGGCTGGGGCTGGGGCTGGAGCCGGGGCAGCAGCTCGTGGGGCAGGAGCTGCGGCAGCTGGAGGTGGTGGAGGGGGCGCGGCAGCTGGGGCCGGGGCTGCCGTAGCAGCACCTGCGGTGTAGTCCTTGAAAGCGGCCACATCCTCTTTGTTCTGCACGATTATACACAACAACTGCAATGTTCAATACGATTATAGGAAAGAAACAATTCCGGTGATTTTAACTGATAAAACCGATGGGTCTGGTGGTGTTCGCATGGCTGGATGGACGGATCACTTGCACACTCAGACGATTGAAATCTCCTTCGAGGTGTGAAGTGATCATTTACTGATTGATCTTTTTCATATAATGAACACAATCAAAGCGAATAATAGCAAATGTTTACACAAACCTTTCCAATCGGAACTTCTTTTTCGCCTTCTGGAATGAGTATTTTCGCTAAGTAGCCTTCATCAGGTGTTTCGAAGCTCATCGTTGCTTTATCGGTCTCGATCTCGCACAACACATCACCTTCGGCCAGTTCATCACCTTCTTTCTTTTGCCATGACACTATATTACCTTTCTCCATCGTAGGTGAGAGAGCTGGTAGCATCACATCTTTGTGCTCTGGGTAGCCTGCAATTACATAGCTTATTCGGCTATCGATAACAACGAGCAGACAGGTGTGTGGTTCGAAAACAATCGAATGAAATACAGTTGAAATTGTAGGGGAAAATAGATGAAACAAGCAAAGAGAGAAACTAAGGAACGGACGAACTTCCAGCTGGAGCTGCAGCTGGTGCAGCGGCCGGAGCAGCGGCTGGAGCCGGGGCAGCGGCTGCCGGAGCCGCACCGGCACCTTCTCCGGTGTAGTTGGCAAATGCAGCCACATCGTCTTTGTTCGATACGATGATGCATAACAACTGAACAATAATTATCATCAACACTCAAATTCGCATTCACATAAAATCCATTCTCATTCTACTTATACACACATCAAAATTTCTTGNNACGACATTTTTCAATAGATGTATCTCGATAATTCTATCACCGAACAATTTATAAATTCAGTTGAATGTTTATGGTCACTCGAAATGAATGAAAAAGAATCAGTGATCGATCGGAACGACAGCAGAAGAACGAACCTTCCCAATCGGAACATCTTTCGTGCCTTCTTGGATGAGAATCTTGGCCAAGAAGCCTTCCTCAGGTGTTTCGAAGCCCATCGTGGCCTTATCGGTCTCAATTTCACACAGCAAATCACCTTCAGCCAACTCATCACCCTCCTTCTTTTGCCACGATACAATATTACCTCGTTCCATGGTTGGTGACAGCGCTGGTAACGGAATTTCCTTGTGCTCAGGTAAATCTGAATTATTATTATTAACCGAATGAATATTTTTGAAATAGCACTCAATGCTCTCACTGCACGAAAACCAACAATAAACTAACCAGGACTGTAGAATCGAACATTTGTTTTGAGTGGATATCTGAGTGAAGTGATCAGTTTCGATGAATTTGATGCACATCGGAATAGTGGAGAAAGATTATTGCTCGATGAGGATGATACACAACGACTGAATTCATAGTTTATTTTAGGTAAGTGCTATTATATCAGTACATTTTTTTCAGTTGGGCATCTATAAATGAAACAGAAACTTATAAGAGTGGAATTTAAGACTGAAAGACCAACTTCGAAATGAGTGAAGCACTGGCCGTCAGTGGAGCAGTAGGTAGCCGTAGGCCATTCAAGGAACGTAACGAGGACGAGATTCCTCTCGATGACAGTTTCGACAACATTTCGAATTACTGACGATTATTCAGACTGCGGTTGGTGCACTACACTTACCCACTTCCTGTCTGATGCTCCTTCCTGAACATAAATTATTTTCAATTGATTCACTCGAGCGTTTCATTCAACGACCATATCGATTAGGCGTACAATCAACAATTAACAACGCAGGTAAATGGAATGACACATGCAACTGATTCGTGTGACTATTATATTGAACTGTTTGAAGAAGAAGATGAAGAAGAAGAAATGAGAATTCCTTGAAATGTGCACAGAAATACGATCGAACGCTCATCACTGCGTGCAAATAAAAATTCTTCGCAAAAAATTGAAAAATTCATGAATGCTACACGAACGAAATCAATATCTTTGCAAATAGGACATCCTCTTGAAAGCAGCGCATTTTTAAGAAAGAACTATGTCCTATAAGAAACAGACATACAACAATTCATAGAGTGTCCTCTTATGGTTCATATAACAACAACCATAAAACATTCTGCATTCACTTCACATGCACAATTCAAGTCAACATTATAAATAACAAAATATGAGCGCATTCAAACTGGAAAAACTCAACAAAATATGATGGCATAAGAGACGACGGTAAAGTTGAAAAAACTGAGCGTATGTTGAGACGATGCTTGTCGATAATTTGTTGAATATGATGAACTGACTGATAACTGAATGATCAGCACGAGTTCAGTGAGCTTGACCAATAACAATTGAAAAGAACTAATCAAACTTAGCTTCAACTCATAATCAGGAATCGAGTGCAAGAGCTGTACAGATATTATTTCTGAAGACAATAATTAATTTGAATGATGTTGCGAAGATGCTGATATGTGCTAAACAATCCAAAAATGCGTTCGCCCTCACCATTAATCACAATGACTACTGTTATCAATACTACGTCCTGCCACACTTGATAAAATCAATGACTGTTGCTATCAAGATAGTCCACAAATATCAACTGTAGCTGCACACCATCGATTGTTTACATGGGTTTTTTATTAATTTATTTATGCATCGTTCAAATTTCCATCGTTCATTATTAGCATTAAGAACCTTTTAGTATTCTTCAACGCTATAACACATTCAAATTGTATTAATCAATCAGTTGAATATGATACATAAACTCATCACAATTAATTCTCACTAATTAATGCTCGTCGCACTTGAGTTGATCGCTAAAAATCTTGTGGAATATGACAAAAACAGATATTTTATCAGAAGTTTGACAATTGAAGAATTTTATTACTTCAAATGAGATTGCAAGATCACAGAATTGCAGAGATAGTATGCTTGCTCGAGTCTCACATGAGCTGAACACATGAGCGATCAATATAACAACTCGAATATGACGAATGCTATGCAAGTATGCAATCAATGCAGAACATCGAAATACGCACGTAACAAACAAGTTTCAGGCATCAAAAATAATTTCAAACCATCCAGCTCGAACTAATAGCAACACTGCAATCGATAACAACGTTTCGATCTAACCGCACTTCACTCCTCTTTGCATAGCGATGAGGAGTGTTATTTAAGCCTGGTAAAACCGATATTTAAACTCACCCCATCTGCACACACACACACATTACCTCTCATTGTCTTATTCCGCCAACGTTACATGCCCAGGCCATGAAATCATCACAATGAATTATCACTAATTAATGCACACACCTGAACAAAACTGCTGGTCGCACTTGAGTTGATCGCAAAAGCATAAGTAATAATGACATTATGCAATGTGACAAAAACATATTTTATCAGAAGTTTGACAAGTGAAGAATTTTATTTCTTCAAATGAGATTGCAATGAGATTACACCAACGGTTTCAGAAATGAAACTGAAATGTTAAAGAAAACGGAGTGCTGCAAAAATTCATTGTCTTATGGAGCATTTTTAAATCAACTGGTCACTTTTAAATCAATTCTTCAAATAATTAATCCATTCGTGGATTTTATTCCACACAGCTGAATCCTCAAATCAGTAAGAATCTGGCTGAAGATTTTAGGGTATCAAATGAGGAAGTTGTCAGTTCAATCAATTGATATTTCATCAAATTACCAATAACTGATTTTTAAACTGATTTTCATCGATTCACCGAAATCAAGGTGTGATTGATTACCAGTTACGCATTATTGCTGGATGCCGAATCTTTCAAGGAATCCAGGTTGACTGGATCAATAAGTAGAATAAGAATGCCACTAGATCGAGGAGATAAACCGGAGAGAATAGGTAGTGAAGTAGAACGTTTGGAGGCAATGAATCCATTCTAAACTCGGACGATCCAGACATAGGTCTTCTGAGTGTTGAATGAGGATGATGTATAAGTGACGTGCTGAGAGCGATAGTTGAAGTAGACTCAGAGAAGATCCACTCCCACCAGGAAAAAATAGCGGTTGAAAAAGAGAATTTGGATCATTTGTGGAATGATATGATAAAATAAGATAAGAGACGATACGATAAGACTATCGGTCGATCGGACAAGCAGATAGTTTCTGAGTGGTAATTGGTCTGAATGTGTACTGATGTGAGGATGGATATAAATAGCAGATATATGAGGATAAGCTTGTTTGCATTTGCATTGTTTTGTGATAGATTGAGGTGAGGATGAGTGAAATGGAGAACCGTCGACGACGTGCAGTTCAGTAAGAATGCACGATAGCAACTGCTTACTTATGAGGATAATACGATAAGTTCAACTACTGCATGCACATTCTCGTTATCACAAATATCACGTGCACATCACCGATTTGAAGCAGTCACAAAAATGTGCTTCATTTCACATACCCTTTATATTGACATTTTTGGGACGGGATACATAATATCTGTCAGAACTTTTCTAAAATTACAGCTGAGTAATAAGCCATATGCACTCACTCTGATGGAATTTCATTCTCAAATCTACATTAGTAATCGTGTGATTCAATCGATCAAATAAACGCACACAGAAAAGATCATATGAGAGGATATCCTTTATACGAGGTTATTCTATCGGGATAACCAGCAATCATTTGAACAAAGTTGCAAGATTATTCACCAAGCATAACTGAGACTGGAGAAATTCGCAACTTGGGAAATTGATAGTGGAGAATTCGCAAATTGATTGCCCTGAACTGAGATTTGGTCACAGGGAACAACAGTGTGAGGGGATTTTAAAGTTGTCCATATTAAACTCAGATGAATCAATTTGAGATGAGGCAATTATTCAAAAATTTACATCAAACAATTCTTCAATTTTTTAGATTCATCTTTACGTATAGCTGTCACTCGAGACTGGAAACAATTTCAATCGAATTCCCATCGAAAAAAAAAAANTTTTTTTTTATTGATTCAGGCTTGGCATTTTCTCATTGCGCTGAGAAGAGTTGATATCCGTTCGAATGGAGCGCATCAAGGGAGAAACTCGTAATGAATGACAACTCGCTCTTGAACAGATCGATTCGACTTCATTTTTTGCAACCTGCTAAGTATTTGTTTCATTTGTGCCAAAAAACAGCGAAACTGTCAGCTTAACGACGAACGGAAGAATCGTGAAGTTTAGTTCAACACTGCAAAAACAAACATGCAATGTTTCGAATCCAATCAATAATTTCACAAGTTGCTAGATTATTTCAAGGATGTTTAGAAATGAATCCGTCTCGATTCAATAAGACTGAACAATAGGAATGATGCTAATAATTACACACAGTACGGGAAAATAATGATGGGAAAGTAAATGGATGAAAATTTTTGAGCATTCGTCGGGAATTCATCAAAATCAGACGTTCTCAGTTCAGCTTTCATTCATGTCAGAGCTCTTCTAATCGCTCTCATTCTTTGTATCATTCAAAAGTTTTTGTTTCTAAATATCTTTCATCTTTCACGTTGCATTGCACACAAAACACCAACTCAAATTTTCCCAATCATCATCGCCCCATTCGACTAGTGCTGATGATGAACAATATAAAAAGTTGACCATCAGCTGCATTTGAACAACATCGATTCAAATTCTCAAATGATGGGTTTCAATGCCTTTCTGGTGGTTACGATCACGCTTTGTCGGGCAAGCACAGAACTCAAAGCTTCACTGACTGATCCTTAGTGCACATATGACCTGGATATTGCACTCTCGGAATATTGAGATGTACGATTATGTTTAAGATATTGATGGACACATCTATGGATAGCACAAAATATAATAAACTTTTACATCGAATTCGAGAGTACTGATGACCCAAAATCGCCTGAGTAATTATATGGTATGACCGTTCTGCTAGAGATCAAATGTTCGGACATGCTGCCAACCACTGTGTCTGTACGCTTATACAACTCAGGATTATATTCGGATAAATTAGTGAATATTCGCTAAAGAATATATTTTCCAGAGAGAACTTATCACACCTCAAGTCGTGTTCTGTCGGCAAATCCAGAAACGTCAATAATCTTCTGTAAATCAGAATTAAACGTAATAAAGGCCTAAATTTCCCACTTTTTAAAATATTTTAGTGCTAACTATC